TGAGGGGCATCATGTCTCATAGTGGGGCTGGCCATGTGGTCCTCTCTGTGGACTGGCTGCTCTAATTGGGGTCATCGTCCTCAAAGCCCTGTGGGCCAGGATGTGCTCCAGTCTCTCCTCCTCCCCCGTAATCTGCTCCCATGTGCTCCGACCAAGTGCACCACCATTCAATGACCCTGATGGCGTTCTTCAAATTAAGCTAGCATCTTCACCCTCCTTTTCTGAACTGGGAAAGGAGCCTTGGTGGTAGGGTGGTTCAGTGTTGACCTGTGATCCCCAAAGTCAGCAGTTCAAAACCAGAAGCAGCAACTCTGGAGAAAGACAGGCTTTCTACTCCCATTAAGTGTTAGTCTCAGAAACTCACAGGGGTAGTTCTACCATGTTCTATAGGGTCGCTACGAGTCAATGTTGACTGGATAGCAGTGAGTTTTTGTTTTTTTCTTAATTATCCGCCCCCCTCCATTAACATATGGGCTCAAAGTGCAGGAATAATTGTGAGGATGGTGAAGGACCAGGCAGTGCTTCATCCTGCTGTACCTGGGGTTGCTGCGAGTCTGGACCAACCTGACGGCACCAACAACAACCTTAACATAATCTCACTGTCCTGAGCGTCCTGGCTGAGCTTTCTAGTTGCTGCCGTCAGTTTGAGGATTAGCTTATTTTTGTTTATTTATCTATTGGGGAACAGCTTATTGATTTATGCTGAAGCAAGCACAAAACCGGCTGGAGTTTAATCATCGATTAGGTGCTGGATCTATAGACGAGTCAGTTTGAGGAGGCGTGCCAAGCCCACTGTGTGAAGCCCTCTGATTTCTGAGCCTGGGATGCCTGGATGTTGGTGGAAAACTTTCCTTTCTTCCAGAGCTGTTTTGTGGTTTTCCTTTCTTCCTGGATTGTTTGTTTGGCTGGTGTTGGCCCGGTTTTCTTCATATCACTTCCAGGAGGTTCGTCACTGCCCCGCAGAGATGCACTCCACTTCTTTGTCTTGATCTCATATCCTGCAGCCCCGTGGAACACGCTTGTTAGGATCTGGAATCGAGTCTCACGTCTTCCCCACCAGTCTGGATGCCTCTTCTTGCCTAATTGCCAAGAAGGGGCTATTTGAGCCCCCTGCGCTGAAGAAACAGCCCTGCCCTCATCAGATCCCTTCCTGCCACCGAGCATCAAGAGGAGATGCCGTACCCCCCTGCATGTGGAACCCCCCGGCCTTTCTGCGTCACCTCTGTCATCACCCTTCCAAAGCATCTATCTAGTCCACTCACAAAGCTGTGCAGTCATCCTCACCACCATCTGTCTAATTCTAGGACATTTCACGCCCCGCCCCCCAGCCGAGGGCAAGCCTGGCCCTCCCCCACGAGCCCACCCGCACCCCCACACCCCAGCAGTGACCAGGGCCTGACTGCCTCCGAGCAGTTGGTGTTTGAATCAAGTCCCCCA